ACACCTGAGGGGGCACGATCATCACCCCCCGTTTTGCAACTGAAAAAACGGATGCTCGAGAGATGCAGTAACTTTGCCCAGAGTCACAAACCCAAGCTTCTCTGACTCCAGACCGTGAGCTGAGATTGTCGCTCAAACCATCCAGTTCCCTTTCCCTCTTCTTGCACGAGCGGGTAAGACCCCACATCCTCTGGAAGACACCGTAAGGATCACCCCCTCCAACCTCCCTCCGTGACAGCGGAGGAAACGCGCTCGGAGAGAGGAAGGGGCTCGTTCCCCGGGTCGCGCAGAGCCGGAGCCGCTCGGCGACGCGATCGCAGGGTGCCCCAGAATTCCAGCCCTGGCCGCACTGACGGGGGCGGTGGGGGACACCGAAGCCCCGAGCGGTGGCCCCGGGTCCGGATCCGTGAGGGGCAGAGCCGGATCCAGCCCCGGGCGCGCTCGCTGTCCTGCCCGGCTGGCGCTCCTCCTCGCCCGGCGGCGGCGCCAACCATCCCGCGGGCAGCAGCGCCCGGCCCGCGCCCCGGGAGTACCTGTCGGCGGCGCGCGGGCTCTCGGCCGGGGACCGGGCGCTGGAGCGAAGCGAGCGGGGCCGCGCGGGCCGGAGGCGGGCACTGGCCTGGCCGAGCCAGGCCTCCCTGGGCCACCTCGCCTCAGGACGTCGAGGCCCCGGGAGCGCGCGGCCGGCCGGACGCCGAGAATTTGGGAGCTTGTCCCGGGAGGCAGAGCCGCCTGGCTTCCTCCCCTCAAGCCCCCTACTCTGCCCCTCTGCAGACCCCTAGCTCGAGGACACCTGAGGGGGAGCAACGGCCACGCGGTCCTCAGAGTCAAGTAGCTGGGACCCTTGGAGGTTCCCATGGAAACGAGAGAGGCTCTTCACGCCTGCGCGGACGCGCTAGGCACGGGGGGAAATGTAGTTTCCCGGCTGCTACCCGGCGGCCAAAAGTACGGACGCCAGATGGCGCCGGAGCGTCGCGGTGGGTTCTGGGTCCTTCTCCCCGATCCCATCCCCAAAGCCCGGCGCGGGCGCTGCCGGCATAGGGGAGGCCGCGGAGGCCTGAAAGGTAGTTTCTCTTGGCACCCGCGGCTCTGAGGCGTCTGGGGCGCAGGGTGAAGCGGCGAGGGCACGCTTTCTTCGGCGCGTACAGTTTTGCCCTTTTGAAATCTGGTGCTCAGGAGGGGCCACCCTGGCTCGGGCGGGTCCTAGGCGGGCCGAGGCGGGCCGATGCGGGCCGGGCGGAGGGAGGACTCCATGGAGGTGGGAGCTGGCCTAGGAGGCACCTGCTGTCCGAGGGACGCGAGGTCCGCATCGCCCGAGGGTTCACGCCTGGGCTGGGCGACCAGTGCGGCGCTTGCCGGGCTCCTGCCCCAGCTGGGGACCGACTTGGGATTCCCTGGGCGGGGGTCCTCCCGCCCCTCCCTCCTGCTGGCCTCCGTCAGAACCGGTGAATCTGGGTGAGCCTGCCCGGGAGCCGCCCTGTGCGTCTGAGTTAGGCCTCTAGCCCGAGATCTAGAAACTTAGGCTCTGTTGCAGGCCTTATCAGAGTCTTAGTGACTTCTCTGGGCCTCACTTTCCTGTTTCCAAAAAGGTGGTAATAATCATGCCTGCTCTGTCTCCTGGGAGCGTGGCTAGGTTCGATGGAAATGGCACTGGAGTGTTGTAGGCTGGACAGTCCTTTAAGGACACAGACAGACGTTCCCATTTGCTGTACACTGGTGCAACTTCTTGGAAGGAAATGAGGCAACTCCTTTCAAAATTAAATACAAATAGGCTTTGCTTCAGCAGCTCTAGAAATAGGCCCTACAGGTTTTGTCCGTGTGTGCACCAGAAAGTATATGCAGGAGTAACCTAAGCATTACTTGGAATGAAAATTCATGAACAACCTAAATGCTCTTCAGTGGATGACCGCTTAAGTAAACAGTGGAGTCCATTGAATAGAATATGTTCTGGGGTGCCTGGGTCTCAGTCCGTTAAGAGTCTGACTTTGGCTCAGGTCATGATCTCAGAGTCCTGAGTGAGGGCTCCAGGTCAGGCTCTCTGCTCAATGGGGAGTCTGCGTCTCCCTCCCACTCTCCCTCTGGGCTCTCTGCACCCGCCCCCCACCGGCCAAATAAATAAATAAAATCTTTAAAAAAGAAAAAGAATATGTATGATTATTTTAGAAATTAGGCAGAGCTTCCTGAACTGATATGCAAAAAATTTTCAAAGTGCAGAATGTTGATAGGCTATAATTTGTTTCTAAAAGAATAGATAAATATATTTGATGACATAAGCATGGAATGTCTTTGGAGGGACTCGGAAGAAGCTGTAACATGGGTTGCCTATGATGGATTGGAAAATAAGATCAAGGGGGCACACTTTTTTTTTTGTCCCTTTAGCAATGTGTGTAAGCTGTGTGTGTGTGTGTGTGTGTGCGCGCACATATGTATTTCTTAATCATTTGTCTGCATTTTTTTCCAACTAATTTCTACACCCAGTGTGGGGCTTGAACTCGCCACCCTGAGATCAAGAGTCAGGTACTCTACTGACTGAGCCAGCAGATGCCCCTGTTTCCATTTCTGACGCAGTTTCCCCTGCAGTTTTTGCTTTCCCGGGTGCTGAATTCTTACTTCTTGGAGTCCTTCATAGATTCTGGTCAGCTCCAGAACTCAGAGTTCATGGTAGGACCCTCCTTCCCAGCTGCAGAGGCTACAGAAGGGCAGGGCCTGGCCTTGACTTCCCTCGTGACACTGTCACCCGACCTGACCCTAGCATGGTTTAGGACCACTGAAAGGGCAGTCTGCGTGGGACTCGTGGCTGGCCATGGGATGGCAGGCAGCTCGCTCAGGAGGGTTGACCAGCCAAGCGGACCAAGAATCAGACTGGCTTCCCTGGACCCCACCTGTGTCACTAGGCATGTCACCCACAGATAGATGCAAATGCTTCCTCTTCTAGAGAACAGGTTGAGGGTGAATTCTATCAATATAGGGGGGAGGGACATATATTGTTAAAATATCAAAGTGGGAAGGGGGACAGGGCACTTAGGGATTTCCTGGTCTGATCCCATTGTTTTACAAAAAGAAACAGGGACTGGAGGTGGAGTGACCTCAGTGGCAAAGCCAGGGTTAGAACCCAGGTTTCCTGGCCCTTGGTGCTCCGGGGCTAGAGCAGTGCTGGGCTCCCCCCAGGATCTGGATGAGAAATGCCCTTAAAATGGGCCATGAGTTCTCCATCAATGAGAACATTTGGTGCCACCTCCTCCCTCCGAGTCGGCTCTGAAGGAAGGAGTGGCATCCCCACCCCAACCCCAAACAAAGTAGTGTGTTATAGGACAGAGAATATAATCTTGGGAAGAGGGGACAGAAGTGACAAAGACAGGACCACTTATTCTTCTTGAATACTAAACCTGACCAAAAGGAATCTGTACCTAGAAGGGGAGGGCCCGTTGAGGGGACTTCTCCCTTGGCAGTGACGGGCTCTGTTGCACTGTGGCAGGAGGAAGATTCTCGGGACCCTAAATGTGCTCAAGAACTGTCACCAAGGGTTCCTCAGTGGCTTAGTCGGTCGGGCTCTGCCTTTGGCTCAGGTCATGGTCCTGGGGTCCTGGGATCAAGCCCTGCATTGGTCTCCCTGCTCGGTGGGGAGCCTGTTTCTCTCCCTCTGCCTGCCCCTCTGTCTGCCGCTCTGCCTACTTGTGCTCTCTATCAAATAAATAAATAAAATCTTTCTTTATTTATATTTAAAAAAATTTTTTTAAAGATTTTATTTATTTGACAGAGATCACAAGCAGGCAGAGAGGCAGGCAGAGAGAGAGGGGGAAGTAGGTTCCCTGCTGAGCAGAGAACCCCATGCAGGGCTCGATCCCGGGACCCTGAGTTCATGACCCGAGCCGAAGGCAGAGGTTTTAACCCACTGAGCCACCCAGGAGCTCCCAAATAAATAAAATCTTAAAGAAAAAAAAAAAAAAAAAGGAACTATAATCAAGTGTCCAAAAGGAGCCGTAGCTTCTGGAACAGGCTTGGTCCTGTCCAGATAGGCGTTGGCAGCTCCTGCTTTCTCATGGGTAACTCCCTTCAGCTGTCCCAACAGAGCCAGGCACCTGCTGCCCAGTGTAGGCTTGTCCCCTCCACCCCACCCCTACCATCCTGCCTGAGGAGCACGTGGGCAGCTACCATTTACCCAGGTCCTGCCCTAGGAGAGGAGGGAGATAGCACTGGTCTCCCCTCTTCTCTTCCCCATTCTTCCTCCCACTCCAACCCAAACCCACCGCTCCCGCACACAGGCCTGTCACAAGACACCTGGGAGCTGGGAGGAGACCCGACGAGCTAGGAGAGACCAGATTCCTCGTGTAACCAGAGAAGGATCAGACTCGCGGGCAGATAGCTTTATCATAAAAATGAAAATAATATGAAAATGTTTATTTCTAAGTACAAAGTCAGATACCATTAAGACTGTGAAAAACTGGCCAGAGGCCATAAAGGACAAAAAGAAGACTCTCTTTGGCCTGGTGTCCTGTGAACCAGCGCAGTGCTGTGGGGGAGTTGGGTGGGGGCAGCAGCAAAAGACCCGGCCAGTTGTGGCCTTTCGAGGGAGGCTGGCCCACCGGCCCTACCTGTGGGCCAGCTCCCCGCTCCTCAGAGCCTCGGGGCCTGGGGACTGAGGTGACTCCCTGCCTTTAAGGGCCACCGGTTCTCTGGCCTAGCGGCCCCCAGGAATAAAAGGGGCAGGGGTGAGGCAGATGGGAGTGGGTGAGGGAGGAAGCAGGGGCTTTTCTGCAGGGGAGCTCAGTTTTCATATTGTGGCTCAAGTGAATGTTTCAGGCAGCGACTGAGAATGAAGCAAGGTGTTCTTGCCCCCAGAGATATCTTCGGTCTCTCTGTCACATCCCCATTATAGATAAAGAAGGTCTTGAGCCCTTGGAGGAGGATATGTCTGAGACTTAAGGCCGCAGCCGCCGAGGCTGTAGTGACGATGGGGACTTGGCGCCACCTGGGCGGGGCGGGCAGGCGGGTGGCTAAAAGGAATGTGGGCAGGTCGGCTGGAGTGAAAGATGCTCATCCCAGGAGCTGTGTGTGGGCCCCTTGATTTGTGTCTGGGAGCCACGGGAGTGTGTGAGGGCTCAGGCCTCGCCCTCCTCCCCACTGCCATCCATGCTGGCCTGCCTCACCACCTTCCCGCGGAGCCTGGGTGCGGAGGTACTGGCAGCCTCCCCCTGCTCCTGGAAGGCCTGGGTCCGGGCGGCCACCAGGGCGGCGCTGTTGAGGGCGACCACAGAGTGGCGGGACTTCAGGGCCGGCCAAGGCCCCTTGGGACCCCGCCTGCAGCCCTGGGCCTTTGAGAGCTGAGGGCAGGGCTCTGGAGGGTCTTCCTCTGAGGATTCATTTGAAGAAAACACCTGCGAGGGTCAGAGTAGAAGAAGGACCTCTGAGAAGTCTTTCCAGGGCAGCGGCATCGAGCACGGAGCCTGGAAAGGGGCAGGTGTGGAACCATAAGTGAATGCAGAGACTGGGCTACCCACGGGTCACATTTCCACAAGCAAGAAGACAGCACCCCAGCCCCACGGTCCCTGCTTCTTGGCCTTCACCTGTCTACAACCTCCTGGCCCCACTCCTGCCATATCTTTGAGGCGCCCTCCTCCTCCCCCTGCCCCCTCTGCCTCTGTCCAGCCAGTCCTGAGGGCCTTCAGGTGCTGGGCTCTAAGCCGGGCGCCGGGTGAAGACACTCTGCCTTTAGGACCACACACCCTCACCCATCAACCGTCCATACCCAGTGCCACCTCCTCCAGGAAGCCTCTCCCAAATGTTCCCGCCTTCTGTGACGAGCTCCCCTTCCTCCAGGTTGGCCATCTTGGCCTCTGGTCGTGTGTGTGTGTGTGTGTGTGTATATGCATATATATATAGCAGGGTGGTCTGGCTTCCTATAGTCAAAGCCAGTCTCCGCTCTTCTACTCGTTCTACTCATGAAGGTCCACTGCTGAGGCCAGCACTTGGCTGTGTGGGTGCCATGACCCCCCGCACCCCACCCTCTGATGGGTCGACTGCCCCTCAGATTAGAGAGGGGCTGCCGAGATCGCCTCGCCTCCCTCCTCTGGGGTCAGCAGTTGTCCCACTCCTGGCCGGGAGGGTGGCCAGGCAGCGCTGCCCTTACAAAGCCTTTCATCAGGCCGAGAGCACCCACAGCCTCCAGCCCACGGCTGGCTCAGCCCAGAAGCCGCTGCGGATCCCCCCGGCCCCAGGACTGCTCTCCGGCTCCCATGGAGGGCAGCGTGTTCACTGGCCCCCTCTGGGTCTCCTTGGCCGCTTCGAGAGGACGAAACAGAGCCACCGGAGGCGGGGGGAGCGCACCCCATGGGAAGCCGAGCCCCAGTCCTGGTCTCTCTCCTTCCTGCCCCCACCTGCCCCTACTTTTGTCCCCTCACTGGGCCTCAGCCTGGGCTCCCTCCCTGGCCCCAGCCTCACCTCAGGCAGGTCAGTGGCCCCTGAGGCGCTTTCCAGCTCCGAGGAAGGCTCCAGGAGGCTGATGGACCTCATGACCCCTCGGAGGTTGATACGGGGCCGTGGCCCAGGCTCTTCTTTCGGGGCTGCCTGGCTCTCCTCCGGACCCATAGTCTTCACCTCCCCACCGCCCCCCGGCTCCGGCGGAAGAGGCGGGAATGGTGTAGAGACATCGGGGGCGAGGGGCTCCTCTGGGGAGGCCCCACCTGCTTTTTGCTCCCAGAGGTGGCTCTGCCGGCTGCAAGGAGGGGGCCCTGAGTCAGCCGTAAGTGACCCAGTGGCCACCTGAGCCTCAAGGCCAACCTTGACACCCACCTACTCGCGCTCCCCCACCGCCCCCGTCTCCCCCTCGAACCTGGCAGTCAGGATGCCCTGGTAGGTCTGCAGCTGGCGCAGAAAGCCGGGGTTCGGGCGAGCGATGGGCCGGAGCTCCTGCACGTGGCGCAGGGCCTGCTCCAGGCTCCAGCCGTACTGCTTCATGGCATAAGCGACCACTGTGGCGGCCGAGCGGCTGACCCCCATCTTGCAGTGGACGAGCACCCGGGTGCCCTGTGCCCTGTGGGGGCGGGCACGGTTGGTGTCGGGGAAGGGCAGGGCGGGGGGTGGGCGGCGAGGCCCTGCAGGCCAGGAGGAGTTGAGGGCACTGGGGACCACTTGGAGCTGGGCTGGGGGGAGCCGCGGGAGGCCGGGGGAGCCCCCACCTGGCGGCCTCCACGAAGCGGTGGGTCTCCTTCCAGTGGGGCAGCAGCTGGGCTGACTCCTCGTCCCAGAGGCGCACATTGTGGTAGACGAAGCGCTCAGGGTAGAAGTTGTCGATCTCGCGGGCCATGTTCAAGATGTGGCTGACCCTGTGGTGGCCAGTGGAGGGCGTGAGGCCTGGCCGACGGGGCCGGGCTGGGGGTGGGGGCACGTGAGGCCCATCGGCCCGCAGACCCGGTGTAGCCTGGCTGGTTGGGAGGGTCAGGTGGAGAGGAGGTGGCCGTGACCCCGAGCGAATCCTGTCGCCCTGCTGGGCTGGAGTTGCCCCCTCTGGTCCTGCCAGCAGTCGGGCTGACGGCAGTGCTAAGCCCTCTGGTGTCAGGGGGTCAGAGAACAGCTCTGAGTGAAGCTGAGACCGCGTGGCCTTCCCAGGAAATCGGAGGGCAGATGGCAGGAACCCAGGAGAGCAGGCAGCCAGGTCCCCCAGGAGAGGGGCAGGCACTCCTCCCTTAAGACACGGTCTATGGAGAGGCGCTTTTCTGCCTGGGAAAGGCTGTCAGGACACCCGGCTGCCCCTCTTCCCTGTGGGACTGCGGCCCTGGGGCTGGGGCTGGCTTCGCAATGTGCGGAGGGCAAGTGGGCCCAGGGAACCGCCACCAGGCCCTTCTTTCAGGCTGGAGGCGTTGCAGGGGCAGCAGCCTCCGAGGGAGGCGGACCTTCCGAGGGGCTAGAGCCCTACCTGTTTCTCTGCAGCTCCTCTAGGTTTGCGGCATTCCACTCAGAGCCCTGCGGAGGGAGGGCAGCGTCGTCCTCCGAGTCCCCAGCTTGCAGCACCCTCGCGCCCACCCTCACGCCTCACCCCTCCCGCTGCTGCTCACCAGGTAGAGGTGCGGGAAGATGCGGGAGGCGCGGTCTTGCTGGGCCATGAGCAGCAGCATCTGGTTGTCGATGAAGTCGCGGTACTGCTGCAGCGGCTGGCCTAGGCGCAGCTCCAGGGCCTGGCGGATCTGTGGGCAGAGCCACAGCGCCACCACCAAGGCTCAGAGGGTCCCTTGCAGGTACCCTGATGCCCCACCCTGCCCTCTGGGGCCTCAGAGGGCCCGACCTCCCGTCTAGGCAGAGGAGCTGAGGCCAGGTGTGGGGGACTGGCTCAGGACAGGAGGAAAGCAAGGTGGGAAGGAAGAGAGGAAAGCTCTGCCCCAGCTGGAGGACACCCGCCTGCATCAGACGCCCCCTCCCCCTGCTCTGTATGGGGGGGTGCTCCCTCCTCACCCCTGTTCCTCCCCCTTCCCTGACACCAGCCCACTTCTTTGGGTTTTCTGTGTTTTTTGGTGGTTATGTTTGTTTTTAAAGTAAGCTCTACGCCCAAAATGGGGCTTGAACTCATGACCCTGAGCTCAAGTCTCATGCTCTCCCAACGGAGCCCACCTCTTTGGAAGTGACGCTCTCCAGGTCACTGGTGTCCAGCACCTCCCACAGCTCAGCCCGGATAGCCTGCTCCATCTGCTCCTGCTCGGAGGGCCTGGGAGCCGAGCCCGTCAGTCCAGGGCCCCCGCCCCAGCCACCACGGCACCCTCCCTGTCCTCCCCTCCCTGCACTGACCGGCCGGGCTCGGCACTGGGAGGCCGCAGGGACTCCAGGTCAGCCATAGCCATCCACTCGTTGAGACAGCTTTGGTCAGAGCTCAATCTCTCCTGGTAGTGTCCAGCCCAGGTCAGGGCGCTGCCCCCTGGCACGAGGCCGCTGCCGAGAGCCGCCTCACATGCCTGGTGCAGCACCTGGAGCGTGGCCCTGGGACGGGGGGAGAGGCGGGGTCACACTGTCCTCCCTGCCACCCCTCCCCAGACCCTCGGCCATCTCTGAGAAGAGGAGGCCGGCGTGAGAGTGGGGCCATCCTAACCCTCACCACATAGTCTGGATGGAGATCGGCTTGAAGATTCGACTTTGCCCACCGGACGTCACACTGAAGCCCCTGAGGGAGATGGGGTGGGGGTGAGACCCAACCCCAGGCTCTGGGACAGGGCCCTGAGAGGCCAGCCCAGGAGCACCCCGTGAGGCTGGTCCTCAGGGTCTGGACACATCACCAGGCTTCAAGATAAGCCTCGTTTGCCAGATATGGGGTAGCCGAGGCCCAGAGAAGCTAGGCAACTTGCCTAGGATCACACAGCAAATCCAAGGTAAGGATGAGTAGACCCAGACCCCAGATGTCCAGCCTGGAGTTCGTCCACTGCTCCCCGGTGCCCAGCTGCCCCATCACACGTCACCCTGCGGGCCCCATCCCTCCCCCAGTTGCCACCTCTTACCCGTCTCCATCTAGGTACACCTGGGTGTCACTCCAGAGAGGCAAGACCAGGCCCAGGGTGCAGCTGGGGGAACTGGCAGGGGACAGAAGAAAAGCCATTGCCCCTCAGCATCTCACTTCCTCGCCCCCCTCCCTTCCTCTCTCTGCTCCCACCTGCTATCCGGGAAGTCCACCCCCAGGAGGACAGTCTCATCCCGGCGCAGGTATTCTCTTGTGGAAACTACCAGCAGGTAGCGGAGCCGGGGGGGCCGGGCTGCCTCCAGCTGGGCTGCCTGGGGAAGACGGGAAGCGAGAAGCCCAGGGTCACAGGGGCCCGAGGAGACCCTGCACCCCCCACCCCTGCCTGACACACACCTGGGCCTAGAACAGACCATCCTCTTCTCAGATACCAGATTAGTAGCTATAACCTGACAATCCCCCACTTTTGGATTTCATGGTCCCACAAAAATCTCTAAGAAGATTTTTTTCTTAAAGGGCATATGTATGGAAAAAGGGGGAAAATGGGTCTGACACTGTCCATTTTCAATTTCTGCCTAGGAAGGAGGCTTAGGAAAAAAAAATCTCTTCATTTGCCATCGCCGTCATTCGATTCAAGAAAGGTTTCTCACCCCGGAAATACTGAGGACACAATCCCCAACAAAGGATGGTGTGTCCGGGGAATAAATTCAGCTGTAGAAAGCCTGTCTGCTTTTGTTTTTCCCAGTTTCGTTTTTCCCACCTTGCAGTAGGTAGTGATGTGCCCCACAGGCGTCTGGGAGCTGGTACTCGGGCTCGCACCTGGGGCCCCCGGTGCCTGGACCCCTCTGGCTCAGCAGGCCCTCCTGAGCGCCTGGGCCTTCGGTATGCGGACAACTCCTGGGGTCCGGAAGGGCTGGCGCGGGTTGCACGGAACCCCGTCTGTGTGATTCCCAGCTCTTGGCCCTAATCCGGCCCTACCGGGCTCAAGCAGGACAGACCTCCCCCCACCGATTCCCACCCTGCCAGAGACCCCAAGACTTGACTGTGCCCCATCAAACTGACCAGCTGAGACGGCAGGCTCGCCAGCGTTTGGGGGCTCCTGTTACTGCTCCCCACTCAGACACACAGGCGAGCTCCCTTCCACCCTCCTTGCCCTCCCGCCCCAGGGCAGGCTCTCCTCCGTTCTCAGGGGGCTCTGGGCCGCCCCTCACCAGGCGGATGTCATCCTGCGGCCTCAGCAACTCCACCATGAGATGTAGGTGCTGGCTCTGCTCCTGCTTCCTGGGGCTCTGGGGCCTGTGCCCGTCGTCTGTCTGGTCCCCGTGGGGGTGTTCTTCGCCCGGGGGTCTCTCCACCGCCTCGGGACCACCCTCGGCTGCTTCTCCCTCATCCTCTCCATCCTGCAGTCTCAGGACAGCCCCGCGGAGCACAGCAAAGCTCTGCCTGGCGGGGTCCAGGGAAGCCATTAGGGTCCCTCGTACCCCCCAGGACAGGTGCCTCCAAATCACCCACCAGGGTTCTTAAAACAGGGATTGGGCCCCAACCCTGGGGAGTCAGTAGGTCTGGAGCGGAGGCCTGAGAACGTGCATTTCTAACCAGTTCCCAAGTGCCGAGGCCACCCATTTGGGGAACTACTGTCTTGGAGGCTCTCGAGCCACTTGTCTAAGGTTGGAGGGGCGGCGGGGCAAGGGTTGCTCCCTTTCCCTTCACACCTGCCTAACTCGGGAGATGCTTGGTGGTGGTCCAAGAGTCCTCGAGCCCTGTTGTCTCAACCTGCACTTTGGTTTGTGACTAGGCCTGAGCCAGGGTCCAGGATGGTGGTGACCAGGGGGAAGATGGAAGCAAAGCAGCCGGATCAGGGCTGCAAGCCGACTGCGCCCACCAGCCATGCCCGCTGACAACACTGCCCCACACAGTCAGTAGTTGGCTTTGGCTGTGAGTCCTCCAAGGTGGCAGTAGCCAAGCCTGGCAGCTGGACGTGGGTGTCTGTGTCGGGGAGAAGAGCTCACCTTCTCTGGAGCCGGCTTCTCCGCCTGGATGCCTGGTCCTGCTGAGAAAGCGGCCCCCAGGGCAGAGTGAGGAGGGCAGGGCAGTGGCAAGGACTCTCCTCTCTGCTCTCAGGGCTGCTGGGGGGAGGGGTGGGATCACCTCCCCCTACAACTAAGGACTGGAACCAGGGAAGGTGTCAGATCCCTTCCCATTCCAGTCCATTCCAGTCCACTCCCCACCCGGAGGGACTGGGGAAGCCTGGGCCCAGGTCCAGGTAGGGCAGCGTGGGGTGAGAGTGGGTGGGGGTGTTGGAGGTGTCCAAGGGGTTGGCCCAGATCTGGGCCTGGCAGTGGGCAGGGCCTCTGCTGTCTGGGCTGGCGCTTTGGGGCTCCAGGTCTTTGGTCTGAGTTCCTGGGAACCTCAAGACCCCCTCCCAATCCCCTCTAGCATGATCCTTGGGGTCCCCTTCCCCGCACCCCCAGGCTCAAGGGAAGACTGGCAGTGGGCAGGACGTGCTCCCCCAGGCCCAGCTGGCAGTCAACTGCGTGGGCCGGACCACGGCAAAGCTAGACTTACCGTGGGCCCCACAGGCGTGGAGTGGCCGCTGGCCGGGGGTGAGCGGCTCACGGTGACCAGGGCCATGGGGCCTGGCAGGGGGACACCTGGGCCGGTCAGGGCACTTTGCCCTCCCACAGCTCTACCGACAGTCCCTGCCCCGCAGGACCAGGAAGGAGAGACCGGAGCCACCAGGGCCTGGCACCTCCTCGGGGGCGGCCCTTAAAGGGCCAGACACTCGTCCAGCCCGGCCTGCGGAGCCAGCACGGAGCGGCCGCCGCCCCTCCCTTCGCGACTCCTCGGGTTGGGTCGCCTCGCCCCCGCCCCCGGAGAGATTGGGGGCGGACCCGGGGCGGGGCGCAGGTGCGGAGGGCTGCCGGAGGGAAGTGTCCAGAGGTCCTGCAACTTGCCAGCTTCGCCCTGGGGTTAGTCCCTCCTCCCGGGAGGCGCCCCTACCCCTGCCCTCCCGGCTCCGCCCACTTAGGTCACCTGAGTTCTGCTTTGGACCTCAACCGCGCTATTACCTACAAGAGATGGGTCCCAGGGAGGCGGGGCTGGGGACACCGGTCTTGGAGAGGATCAAACACAGTGAGTCTTAAGTTGGGGGGGCCCCCAAAATTATTTCTCCTTGCTGATTGACCCTCCTGCTTCCACTCTGTGCACGAGTCATTGGAAGACATGCAGAGCTTCAGGGGGAATCAGGCGGCGTGTAGAACTAACCCTTGCAGCTCACGGGGGACCCTCAGGGCCACCTCGGAGGTAAGCAGGGCTGAGCTGCAGCAGAGGGAAGTGACTTGTCCGAAACCAATCGGATAGAAAATGCTGGGGTCAGTGCGGGAACCCAGACCTGGGGCGCAGGGGCTCCTCCCAGCTGGCTGGGGCTAGTCTGGAGGCCCCGCCCCTCCCCCCTCTTGGACAGGAGCACAGGTGGATTCTGGGAAAGACCCAGGGAGTCAGAGGAGGAACCAGGGTCTCCGACGGGTTGGGGGTGGGGGGAGGGAAACAGGCTCCAGGGAATTGAGGTTTACAGACCACCGACTCTGTAAGGGACTTAACCTATGTGGGTTCATTTCATCCTCTCAACAGGCCTGGGGAGTGGGTAGGGCCTCATTTTACAGCTGAGGAAACTGAGGCTCAGAGACACTAAAGGGGCCACAGCCAGGATTCAAACCCAGGTCCGCGGCCATTGCCCACAGCGTCTCCCCTCAGTGTCACCTCCCCCTACCCCTGCCCCGTCTCCCCATGGAGCAGAGTAAGTCTGCTGCTGAAAGTCTGTTTATTTCCACCAAGGTCTCCACTGCAGGCCCACCTCCAGGGCTCCAGGCCCCAAGCTCAGCAGCAGAGAGTTTATAAATAAATAAGTTACAAAAGCAGGTGGGGAGCAGCCCAGACAGCCCTCCCAGGGGCTCCGTGCTCAGTGCTCGGTGAGTGAGAGCTGCAGGATCCTCTCTAAGTCCTCCTCCTCCTGCTGGCCCCGTCGTTCCCGCTCCTCCTGCTCCCTCGAGGACAACTCCAGGGCCAGGCGAAGCTGTTCCTCAAAGCTTGGGGGGCCCGGGGCTGGGGGTGTCCTGTGAGGGGATTCTGGGCCACTGGGCTCTGTGGACATCCGCAGGCTTTCTTGGAGGGCCCTTCCAGACAAGGCATGAGAGGGAGGGCAGACCAGTGAGCACTGGGGCGGGGGGAAAAAGGCTAAGGGCAGGGTCACGGCTATGGAGTTTATACAAGGGCAAGGAGAGGGTGGCTGGGACGCGGGGTTAGGCGCCCTGTCTCCCCCATCTTCATGCTCCCTTCGGTGGTAGGCAGCAGTGCTCACAAAAGGCGGCCCTGAAGAGGGCATGGGATCCCGGGATCCGCGCCTCCCCACTCCCCACCGCCACCAGCCAAGGACCCCCCCGCTGGCAGCCTCCTTGGGGAAGGACAGGCCGAGACATCGTCCTGGTAGGTCCTGGAGGGCCTCACCGCTCCAGCTGAAGCTGCTCCTCGTAAGCGGCGGCCTGGGCAGGAGCCCCGGGCCGGGTGTTGGTCAGCGCTTCCCAGACGGTCACCTGCAGCAGACGAAGCCCGGAGCTGTCACGCCAGCCGCCCCTGCCAGCACCCAGGGGGGCTGGGCCTGCCCACGTCCTACCTGCTCGGCCTCTGCACCCGCCTCCAGCAGGCTCTGCCGGATGGCAAACTGCAGCAGGTCGTCGTCCTCGTCGCGGAGGGGCTCGCTACGCTCCGCGCCCAGCACACTGTACCCCTCAGGCACCTCGAACACGGCGGGGTCCACCTCGCACGGGAAAGGGCTCCCTGTGCAGGAGGAGGGCTGCACTCAGCCCCGGGGCTCGGGGCCCAGGGTAGTGGGGCGGCCTCCCTGCCGCGCAGGTACCTGATCCCGGGCCACCGGAGCCGGAGGCCGGCACCCACACGGAGCTCAGGGGCTCGTCGCAGCCGCACAGGTTGCTGAAGGTGATGCGGGCGTTGAGCACGTGGAAGAGGGGAATCTCTGTGAGGAGGCAGTGAGCCTGAGCCACTGAGCCCCCGGGGCCAGCGGCCGCCCCCCCACCCCGACCCCTGGGGCCGTAGGCCGGTCCTCACCAATCTTGACCGGGAAGCCAGGGGGGAGGCGCAGGGTGATGAAGTCACGCAGCTTGGCAAAGTGGGCATTGCTGATGGCCATCAGGTCAATGATGGGTGTCACCTGGTCACCCAGGGAGAGCGGGTGCTCCTCACTCAGCCATAGCGTGGCCTTGAACCTGTATAGGACGTCAAGGAACCTCTGGTGGCCGGTCTGCTAAGGCTCACCCGCCCTAGACACCTGCTTTACTCACGCCCTCTGCCAAGCCTGAGCTGGCTCCCTGTCCGCTCAGCTGTCCCCACCTGCCTCCCCCAGGAGCTTATGTCCTTCTGGCCCTACTGCCCCAGCCGTCCCCCCATGGTGGGACCCTGAGCCCAGGCTGGGGCCTAGGAGAGCCTCAGCTCGTCTGGATGAGGCGGGCAGGGCCGGGCTACTGGCTTCAGTCAGGGCCTCCTCCACAGCCCCGTCCTCCTCCTTGGCCCATAGCCGCCCAGCACCTCACATCTGCTGTATTTTGGGGTCCAGCAAAGCCCAGAGGCCAGGACTACAGGGTCTGAAGCTCCACTCTGCCCCTCAGTGGCTGAGTCCACCTGCAGGCCCTGGGGCAGTGCTGGGCCCATCGTAACTCTACATCCTGGCTCCTCAGATCCTCCCAGTGCCCTGGTGAGCAGGTGGCGGCCAAGTGTGACTGTTATTCTACTGAGAACAGACTCTTGGAGGGGAAGACATTTCCTGGGGCCACAGAGTCAGGAGACGGTACAGCTACGAGCCCCTTCCCTCCGCCCCAAGCTGGCACTGAACAGAGAACCATAAATGGGGGGTGGTGCCACCCGCCCATTCATTCATTCATCGAAGAAGTGTAACCAGTCCTCTGGGCCCAGCCCTGAGCTGGGTGCCAACAACCACAGATAAGCAGACTTGACCCCTGTCCCCAAGGAGGAGAACCTAGCAGGAAGTCGGCTGGGTGAGTGGGTCTCCCCACTCTGGTGGGCCCCATGTGTGACAGCAGTCTGTAAGGGCTCAGGGGGACCATGCCAGCCAGGGTCCCCATCCCTGAGGGAAGTCCCCAAGCCAGCTGCAAGACCTCACCTCTGCACCTTGCTGGACATCTCAATGGGGCGGCCGATGTTTCTCGACTCCAGGCTGAAGTTGGGATCGAAGTATTCACTGGGGGAAATGGCTGTGGGGTTGGTGGGGCTGGCGGCCTGTTGCACAGAAGCCTGGGAGGGCCCCACGACCACACTCAGTGTTCAGGAGGGTGCCTGCCTGGCCCCGCCCAGTGGGTCCCTGCCCATGGTGCCCACCCCCCTGGGCCTGGCTCACCCCGCTGTGGGAGGAGTGCTGCTGGGCCATCCCGAGGAAGGACTGGAATGGAGTCTTCCCTCCTAAGGAGAAACGGTGGAGCCCTTGAGGAGACTTTGGGCCACTGCCCCCAGACTGTCCCCCCCCCACACACCCCCCATCCACTCCGGGAGCCTCCTGTCGGGTGGGATACAGAACACATGGGAACGGGGAGGCCTCCCAGCTTGTCCCAGAGGTTGCGGCCCCGACCCCAGACCAGGGACCCCAGCATGCGGCGGGAGGCAGCAGGCAGGCGCACCTGGGTTTACCTTTGCTCCTTGACTTGTCCTGGTCTGAGAGGTGCTCCGTGCGGGTGCGTGTCACCAGCTCCACATTGGTGGCACTGTATACCTGGGGAGCAGGGGGGACACGGCAGGAGCTGAGGGCTCAGAGCCTGTTCCCCACACTCCGCCTCACCAGTGCAGGACCCACGTCCTCCTCTCTGCAGGAACAGACAGGCTCTCGCCCCCCACCACGGAGGAGTTGGCAACTCTGAACCGTGGGGACTCAGTCGTGAGGGGAAAGCACTCCTCGTGTCATCTCGGTAACCGGGGTCAGGGCCCGTGCTGGGGTGATCCCTAACGTGCTCGGCGGGGCCTGGGCACTCGGACCCCCCTGAGTTCCCACGGCTGCACCGGGCTCCCAGAGCCCACGGGCTGCGCTGTCTCTCCTCCACGTGGGTGGATGTGGAGAAACGGAGGAGCTCCTGGGCCTCATCTCCTACCCCAGCCCCCACCACTAGCCTCTCCTGCCTTGGCCTCGTAGCCGCTAACGGTTTCCATCTTCTCAGACCGCCAGCCCCAGATACCACATTTGTTCCTGCAACAGACCAAACAGGAGCTCGTGAGGGCCGGTGCCCCTCGACCCTAGCCAGCGCCTCCCTTCTCTCTCCCTTCCAGAGACCCCTTCCAATTCGCCTTCCCACTGTGAAACGCAAGGGCCTTGCGGAGGATGCCTGGACAGCCGGGGACACTCGAACAGGGACCGGGCACTAAACGGTACTGAGAAATTATCAGTAACTTTGGTAGGCGTGATAATGGCGTTGGGGCTGGCTTTATAAACTTCCTGATCGGTTAGAGTCACGTGCAGAAGCATTTACTGTTAAAGTGACGGGACATCTGAGAGGTGCTTTAAAAATAGTCGAGGGAAGGGGCGCTGGGGGTGCCTCAGTGGGTTAAGCATCTGATTTCGGCTCAGGTCATGGTCCTGGGATCGAGCCCTGCTCACTGGGAGTCGGCCTGTCCCTCTCCCTCTGCCCCTCCCCGCACCTGTGCTCTCTCTCATTCTCTCTCTCAAGGAAATAAAATCTTAAAAAAAAAAAAAAAGTCCAGGGTCTGACTTGGGTGGTTCAGTGGGTTAAGCCTCTGCCTTCAGCTCAGGTCATGATCTTAGGGTCCTGGGATCGAGCCCCGCACTGGGCTCTCTGCTTGGTGGGGAGACTGCTTCCCCTGCTTCTCTCTCTGCCTGCCTCTCTGCCTCCTTGTGATCTCTCTGTTAAACAAATAAGTAAAATCTTAAAAAAAAAAAAAGTTGGGGCGCCTGGGTGGCTCAGTGGGTTAAAGCCACTGACTTTGGCTCGGGTCATGATTCCAGGGTCCTGGAATGGAGCCCCACATCAGGCTCTCTGCTCAGCAGGGAGCCTGCTTCCTCCTCTCTCTCTCTCTCTCTCTCTGCCTACTTGTGATCTCTCAAATAAATAAATAAAATCTTCAAAAAAAAAAAAAAGTCCAGGGAAGGGGCGCCTGGGGGGTTCCGTCAGCTGAGCGTCCAACTCTTGATTTTGGCTGCGGTCATGATCTAGGGGTCATGAGACTGAGTCCCGTATTGGGCTCCACGGTGGGCACGAAGCCTGCTGAAGATTCTCTCACTCTCTGCCCTTCCCCCACCTCTCACTCCCTCTCTAAAAATAAAATAAAGTAGCCCAGAGAAAAAAAGGAAAAAGCAAGGAAGGACAGGTTCAACAAGATTGACAGAACACCCGTAAGTGTTAAAGTTGGGCGATGAGGACATCCTATTCTCTCTTCTTTCACACGTGTTTGAAGTTTCCCGGAATAAAAAATGAAAAAAATGTGTCTGAATCAACGATAATGGTTTGCGAGACATCAATACCCCACTTTTGATCATGGTTACAGGACAAGGAGACAAAAGATCAACAAGGAAACAGAAGATTTGAACAACCCTGTAAACCAGACTTAATAGACTTTCTTAGAACACTCCACCCAAGAAGAACAGAACACACATTCTTCTCAGGTGCACGTGGAACGTTCTTCGGGATGGACCACATACTAGGCCATAAAAGAAGCCTCAAGAAAACCGAAAGGAGAAAAGTCATACAAAGTATGTTCTCCAAATGCGAGAGAATGAAATAAGAAACGAATAAAAGAATAAAGATCTGGGAAACTCACAAATGTGTAGAAAGTAAACACACTCCTAAAAAAAAAAACCCCAAGGGTCAATGAATAAACCAAAAGAGAAATCAGAAAATGCTTTGAGAGAAGTGGAAGTAAAGATACAATATTCAAAACCTGTGGGATGCAGCGAAAGCAGTGGTTAGAGAGAAATTTAGAACTCTAAATGACAACATTGAGAAAAAAAATGAAAGACCTAACTAAGTGGGAAATGATGTCTTGGGAGAAGACACTCAACATTGCCAAGAGGACAGCACGCCCCAAACTGAGTCACAGATTCAACACAAACCCTGTTAGGATCCCACCTGGCGGGGCGCCTGGGTGGCTCAGTGGGTTAAGCCTCTGCCTTCGGCTCAGGTCATGATCTCAGGGTCCTGGGATCGAGCCCCACATTGGGGTCTCTGTTCGGCGAGAGCCTGCTTCCCACCCCAACCCCCCCCAGCCTACTTGTGATCTCTGTCTGTCAAATAAATAAATAAAACCTTAAAAAAAAAAAAATCCCACCTGGCAACTTCTTGGTAGAAACTGACAAAATGGATCTGGAATTCCTATGAAATTGCAAGGGACCCAGAATACCCAAAATAATCGTGAGCAGGAAGAACCAAGTCAAAATGCTCACACTTTCCGATTTCAAAACTTACCATAAGGAACACTTACTAAGACAGTGCGGTACTAGCACGAGGACTGACATCTAGGCCGGCGGACTAGAACTAAGAGTCCAGAAATAAACCCACACATCTGTGGTCGCCTGATGTGCCACAAGTGTGCCAAACCCATTCAATGAGAGGGAGCAGTCTTTTGCACACATGGTGCTGGGACAAGCGGGTCCACCCGCAAAACAATGAAGTCGGATCCTTTCGTCACACCATACACACAACGTTAATTCAAGATGGATCAAAGACCAAAATGTAAGAGCTAACCCTATAAAGCTCTCAGGAGAAAACACAGGAGAAATCTCTGTGACTCTAGATTAGACAAAATATTGTCAGATAGGATGCCGGAGGAACAGGCGACGAGAGGGAAAAAAAAGATGCATAAATTGTATTTCACGAAAATTAAAAGTGTTCAAAGGACACAGTCAAGAGAGAAAAGTCAGCCCACAGAACGGGAGAAAATACTTGCGAATCATATTCCTGAGAGGGGACTTAGATCTAGAATATGCAAAGGACTCCTGCAACTCAACGGTAAAAAGAGAACACAATTTTTTAAATGCGCAAAGGATCTGAGTAGACACATCCCCCAAAAAACAGCTATAATTGGCCAATGAGCACATGAAAAGGTTCTCCACATTATTCATCATGAAAGAAATGCAAATCGCAGTGTGACGAAATACCCCTTCTCCCACCCACTAGGGTGGTTATAATCCAAAAATAAGTAAATGGACACCAGCGCCGGTGAGGACACGAGGGAAATGGAACCCTTGTCCCCTGGGGGGCAGGGGACGGAAAATGCTGCAGCCCCCTTGGTAAACAGTCTGACAGTTCTTCAAGCAATTAAACATCTGGTTTCCAGATGACCTAGCAATTCTACTCCCCGGTATACACCTGGGAGAAATGAAAACCGTGTCCACACAAAGCCTCGTATATGAACGTTTACAGAAACATTCATAAAGGCGAAACGTGGAAACAATCCTGATGTCCGTCAGTAGGTGAGTGAATAATTAAAATGTGAGCGAGGCACACAATGGACAGCAATCCAAGGAGTGAGGCAGGTGCACAGTACAGCCTGGGTGAAGTCTGAAAACGTTCTCGGGGAAAGAGGTCACACGAGACCACTGGTGCACGATTCCGCTCGGGGGAGAGTCCAGAATCGGGAAATCTCCAGGGAAAGTGAGTCAGTGGTTGCCTAGGGCTGGGGAAGGGGGTGAGGGCAAGGGAGCTGGTGGGGCATTTCTGCAAACATTAAAAACCACTGAATCGCACTTTTAGTAGGTGAACTGTTCACGATATGAAATTATATTCCAATAAAGCTGTTTGTTTGTTTGTTTGTTTGTTTTTCAAAAAGGTATTTCTGAAGTCTGTTCCAGGAACTGGGACATATGTTGTCAGAGAGAGAACAGCCTGGCCGGTAGGGTCAGACTCCTAGGCTACCCACAAAGGACTCTGGCCCAGAAACTGCCAGACTACTAAGAAACCCACACTGGGGCAAAGAGCTGCCCTGAACCACAGCCTAGAGTCCTTGTGATGGGAAGACACACGAGGACAGAAGTCAAGACGCTGGGCCTCCCTGACCTAGCCTCCGCCCCAGGAAGACAGCTGCCCTTGGGCAGGCGTGCAGGGGCCCGAAGGGACACACAGGTGGTCTGAGTGGGACCCCGGACCTGAAGGGACCCCTGCCCAACCTGAGCAGCCTCTGTGAGCGGCTCACCCTCCCCGAGGCCTGAACCAGGGCCCACGGTGGGGCTGGGCCCCAACTGACCTCTCGAAGGCCACATGGCGCGTGTCCAGGTGGGTGGAGACGATAGGAGAGGTGAGCCGGCTGGCCACGTGCTCCTCACTGGGTCGCATGGCGGCCAGCAGCGCTTCCGGCTCGTGCAGGGCGAGCCCCAGTGTCTCAGTGTGCACCACCTGCCGGTCGTGGTCCACTTCCATCACCAAGGCTCCTGCCTCTGCCCACCGGCACGGGTGCGTGAGGGGCGCAAGTCAGTGCCAGGCCCCAGATGGCGGGGAAAGGGCCACTGTGGTGCCCGTGGCCACCGGCTGCTAAGTGGGCCAGGCCCCAGCCCCCTGGGTCCCCTCCACCCTCAACCTCCGTTTCCACAGAGTAGAGAAAAAGAACAGCACAGTCCTCACAGGCCACGGGAGAGTCCGGGAGCAGGAAGGCGGTAGCCCGCCTCACGCCTGCAGCGAGTGCCCCGGAGTCCCCCAGAGCTCACCCCGGCCCTTGAAGATAAAGCTCCGCCTGCCGCGCTGCCAGGTCATGTGCTCGAAGCCCAGCAGGCTGGTGTCCACCCGCAGGCTCTCCCCCCGCTTCCACACTCGGTACACGTCACTCGGGCACATCTTGGACACGAGAGGCACTGTGGGGAGGACGGGGATCACCATGGTTCTCTCCCATAGATTTCCACCTGCCCCTCAGGCCCCTGGAAGCCAAGAGGTCCTCACTCACCCCAGCTGGTGAACTCCCACTTCATCTCCACGTAGAAATCGGGAGCCTGAGATAGACCAGAGCAGCTGAGGGGGCCAGGCGCGGAGGACCCGCGGGCCTAGGCAGCTCCTGATCTGCAGCCCCGCTCTGGGAGTCCAGCCCGTGGGCAAGTCTCAAAGTGCTGTGTCCCAGCTACGCCCCCACTATAACCACACCCCACCCAGGAAACGGGCGAAGTGGGGCCCTAAAAAGGTCTCAGAAGAAACAGACTATAAGTATCTGGAGCCTGGAGGTCAGTGTCCACCTGGCCACTGGTCTGCGGAGGGACCCTGGGGGACGTTCTTGCTCCCCCTGGGTCCCAGAGTCCGCATCAGTAAAGAGGGCACAGTGACCCCTCTGGGACTGCCCCCCATGCTTGAGGAGGACGGACAGGCACTCCAGCGCATCTGGCTGCAGCCACTGCGTCAGATGAAACTCTCCCCCCAGGACACAGGCATTCACCAGGAGGCACACATCTAAAGTTCCGTGAAGATTTCTGGCACCAGGGACCCCTGACGTCGGCAACGGCCTTCCTCCTAAAGGGCCCCCATCTCACCTATCTCACCCGTGTGGGCCGGGACTCCTATTTCCTACATGACCCTGGACTGGGGTCGAGAGAGAGAGGGCCGTCGTCGGCAGTGATGGGTAAGCTTGCTGCGCAGACCAAGCGAGTGGCGAGTGGCGGGTGACCAGAGGGACCGGACTGCCATGCAGTCTGTCACAGCCCCCTGACGGGGCTCCCCGCCCCTCCTGTCCGGCCACACCCCCGTGCCCAACTGTACCTGGCGGAGTTTGTTGAGTAGTTCTGGAATGCCAGCCAGCCTCTGTGTGGCCCTCTGGTAGTCCCGATACTGGAGCACCAGCTGTACCATCTCGGGGTCCCCAGTGCTGACTGCCTCCTGCAGGACTGGGGGCACCAGGCCGCTGAGGGCAGCTGCGTCGAAGGCCCCAGGCCTGGCCACTCACTGCCACGCACCAACCCCACTGCCAGCCTCAGGGGGGCCCCTCTGCCCTCTGCAGTACCTGCCCAGCCCTGGCAGCTCTCTTTGCCCACATTGGCATTGTGTCGAAGGAGGACTCTCACGGACTCCAGGTTCCCCAGGGACACAGCCAGCTCCAGGGGAGTGCGCCCCCGGGGGTCCTCCTGTTCAATGTCGTGCTGGGGAAGATGGGACACTCAGCACAGGGCAAGTCAAGAGAAGCAAGGAGGCCACTAGGCTGAACATGGTTGGGGGTCATTGTGGGAAATAAAGACAGCGAACAGGACATGGAAATGGCTGTCCTCATGGTGGGGGAGCAGGTGGGAAGGCCTGCCCACCTCTCCTGCCTTCCCAGAAGAAAGCTGGGGGTCACGCGGTGGGCGCTGGTCAAGCAGCCTGATCAGGGAGAGGTGCAGCCGCAGATGTCAAGAGTTTGGAGGCGCCTGGGGATCAGAACCAGGCTGGCCGTCCTCACCCTGTGTGGCGCGAATTCGGGGGTTGGATGCAGTGTGAAGCGGGCAGACGGGCGGGGGAAGGCCCAGCGCTGGAAGCCCAGGCCAGAGGCTCAAGCGAGAAGGGGCAGTGACCTGGGCTTCGGCCTCCAGGGTGGAGACCGAGGCTTTGAGCTGGCTGCGCAGAGGACAGCCCGGGTGCCCGGTGGGTCTCACCTGGCGGCTGTGCAGCGCGGCCTCCAGTTCACGGTGCCGGTTCGCCCAGACGAGCCGGTGCAGCGGGAAGGTGGGGCCCGGGCCGGCCATGCTGGACTTCAGCGCCGCATCCCGGGAGGGAGGGCGGGCGCGGCGGGGGCGACCCGGCCCCGCCTCGTCTCCAGGCCTGGTGCGGCCCCCTCGCCTCCGTCCGCGCCGAGGTGCGCCCCGCAGCCCCCGCGCCGGGCGGCAGTGGCGGCGGCGGCGCAGGCGGCGTGGAGGGCGGGCCGGGCGGGCCGGGCGGGCGGGGCTCGCCGGGGCGGGGCGGGGCGTCGGGCCGCGCGCCCCCTTGCCTCCCGCAGCCATGGCAACCGCAGCCCGGCCCGCGCCCGCCGGGGGCAGGCTGGGGGCGCTGCTCAGTCGCCTTGGCAACCACGCGCGCGGAGGAAGCAGCCAGGGGCAGCTTCTTGAGGACCCCGGTTTCAGCCGGGCCCGGGTCTGCGGGGGTGGGGGTGGGGGAGTTCCTGGCGGGCGGGGCCTGGCTACGGCTCCCCCCGCAGCCTGCAGGGGGCGCCCCAGGCCTAGCGCAGACCCCTGTTTGCGGGTCCGGAAAAAGGAAGGAGGGAGGGAGTCCGGGGGCGGGGCGGTCCGGCCAGGGGCGGGGCCCGGGCCCCTGGGACGCGTGCGCGCGCGTGTGCGCGTGCGTGCGCTGCGGCCCGCGATCTTGCTGTCCCCGGATTATCCGCTTTTCCCCATCGGCCACCCAACCATGCCCCGGCCTTCCTGCCCCGGCCTTCCTGCCCCGGCCTTCAGACCCTGGGCACCACGGGTACCGACTGTGCCTGTGAGGGCGGCCGAGACGGGAGACCCTGGCTCCCCTTCCCATCACCTCCGAGATGTCCCTAAATGCTGGCTGGCTTCGCAGAAAGCACCTTCCCCAGGGCCCTGGGCCGGTGTCTAGTGGTGGCATGACGGGCTGGGCCCAGCCTTGCGGAGAGACGTGCGGAGAGACAGCCCTGCCAGGTCACTGGAGCCAGGGATGGGAGCACGGGGAATGGGGCCAGTGGGCCTGGCTGGAGTCAGACCTCTCCCAGGGGACTGCCCGCCGGGAATGGTTGCCTTCCCCCACCGCACAGATCCCTTCTGCAGAGGCTGCACTCGGCTGCCAGTGTCAGGAAAGGAAGGAGAGTTTCGACATCAGGCCGGCCTTCCACCCACACCGGAACTAGGGTGCAGGCCTCAGCTGCCTGAGCTCTGTCCTTACCCCCAGCCTCAGCCTGGAGGCTGGTGTTGGTGGGTGGCAGGGCAGCTGCGGGGCTGGGCCAGGGCTGACCCTCTGGTCTCAGGCTCCCTATTGGTAAAATAACTAACTACGTATTTTGATCTAGAAGTTTGAGCCGCGTCTGTGCGGGGAGGGCCTGGCTGCCATTTTCCGCCTGCCAGGCGGCTCCCGTGCTATCTGGGATCCCTTTGCTACTCCGCCCCGTGGTGTCATCAGGTCACTGTTAAGTCCTTGGCTCTGGAGCAGCTTGAAGGCCTCTGAATGCCCAGAGCTGGACACTAGGCCGCCCTACCCTACTGCAGCCCACTTCAGCCTCTCCCTTCCTTGTAAAGGGCTCTCCCCTCCCCCAGGTTCTTCAACCCAAATCTAAGGGCACGTTCTCTCGCCAGGCCCCTCCTAACTTGTGCGGTGTTGAACACACCTCTCCGCCCTCTTTTACCCAGGGTACACTCCCTGGCTGTCCTCTGAACATGCCATAGACCTCCCTGTGGACACTCCCTGTGGACTCCTACCTCTCTCTTGTCCCCAAGTGGGGCCCATTCCTGGTGGGCCGTGTTCTTCCTCTCTTTGTATTTCTCCCCCGGACAAGCAATGGCCCCTAGCCTGTCTCCCTGCCTCCTATCCTGCACCTCCCTCCCTGCATCATGGGTGTCCCTCAGCACTTGTTCTACAGCCCGTCCTCATCACCAGGCCTGTCCAGAGCCTCCAGGGACTTCCCAGAACCTATCCAAGTTCAGACCCCACGTCCATTTGTATCTTCATCACTATGTGCGCCCTAGGCTCTGGGCCAGGTTTAGCCTGCTTTTCAGGGCCTCCCAGGCAGCTCCTTCCCACAGTGCTCCTAACCTAAGCCACTCCTGACTGCCTGGCCGTTCCCTGCATCAGGAAGCTCCTTCCCGACTCCCCACCCTAATGCCACCTGCAGGCCCAGCTCAAGGGCCTTTCCCTCCCAAGACTCAGCCTCTACCTCCAGAGCATCCCAACCCCAGCAGCCTTCCTTCTCCACCTGCCATGCTGTGCCCTGCATGTAGGCCACTCACCCCTGCCCAGCAGAGCACTGCATGGAGTGGACAACAACAGACATCCCGAGGGGCCTGGAGGGCCAGGATATGGGGGAACCGAACTTGAGCAGAACCTCCAGGTAAAGGCCCAATGCTGAGGCATCTCTCGGGCCCCAGGGACCCCGGGAGAGGGCAGCGCAGCAAGGCAAGAGAGGAGGCGGAAGCCAGGCAGGTCCAAGGGCCCAGAGGCCGCCGTGTGACCCCAAGAGCAGAGGCACTTGTCTGACTGCTTGGAAGGTGTCCTCAGCACAATGCCTGGCCAGCCGGGGTGCCCAGTCAGCCAGCCCACACAAGGACACCGAGGACCAAACTGCAGGCACACCCTCCTGCTTCCTTGGACAGCAGGCAGAAGACCCCTTCTGCTCCCCTAGGGTGGGAGGATGAGCTGGGAGAGGGGGTGGGAGAGCAGTGGAGCAAAGGGCTGGGCCTGGGTAGGCTGGCCCTGGATGCCTGCCACCGCCATGGAGGGGACCCAGTGCCACCAACACCCTCTCCCCTCAGACCCCGGCCCAGTGGTAGCTGGAAATGGTCATCAGGCACAAAAGAATCAGACACAGCCAAGTCAGGCACCATTTTTTATAAAAACGCATAGTCTCATTTTCCACTCTTTAAAATCACATTCAAAAATCGGCAAAGGAACGCCCCGGGGAGTGAGTAGATGGGAGGGGAGGGCGCGCCAACCCAGCCCCAGGGGGAGAGGGCGCGACACCACACACGGCAGCGTGACTGGCACAAGGGGGCATGCGGCGGGCGGGGTGGCGCCCCGTGGGCAGTGGCACTGACGGGACATGGGGCCATGGGGCTAGACAGCCCGGGGGGGAGCACAATGACCGGCCAGGGTTGGCGAGGGCTGGCCCCACCCGGCCCCTCTCGCTGTGCTGCCCGGCCTGTCCATGCTGCTCCCCTCTGGTCCTGGGCAGATGAGGCCTGGCCCAACCCAGGAGGGGGCGGGCAGGGGACCTCGGGGCCAAGCGAGGCCAGTGGACCCCAGCCCACAGCTGCCTTTCTGTGGTCCCTGAGCCCGGGCGCTTGGGGTGGAGGAGGAAGGGGGGACCGCAGGGAGGGCAGCGGAACCTGCTGCAAAGGGCCCACCCTCCCGACCGAGCCCCTTGGCGTCCGCGGACTGTGGGGATGGAGGCAGCCAGTGACACTGGGGTTCTTCCCAGGCAAGGGCACACAAACTCAAGTCGCTGTGGTGAGGCCCTGGGGTCAGGGAGATCACGGGCCCCTCCTCCACCAACCGGCTGGAGGACAGGACAGTGCAGGACTGTGCCCCTGGCGCAGGAGGGGCTGTGGTGGGAAAATTCAAGTAGTACCCCTGTGCTGCAGCCTCCCCCCGGGGTGGGGGGATGCGGGGCCACCCTCAGAGCACAGCCCAGAGCCTGAGGGGGCACAACCTGGTGTGGCGTCGTCCCTGGGGAAGGGCTGGGAGGGCCGCCGGGGCTGCCGCTCTCCCCACGCCCCGCCCTCCGCAGGAAGACACTGGGAGGGGAGACCCCCGGAGGGTCAGGGCTGAGGGTGGCTGGACAGTGGCTGGGTTGGTGGCAGCAGGAGCCAAGGCAAGCGGGGCCCCCTCCCCGGGGGCTGGGCCAGGCTGGGGCCACAGGAAATCACAATAATTACAAAATAAAACCTTTTCCGCTTGGCGGGAAAACAAATAATAAAAATCCGACAAAATAAATTAGAGGTTTATAAAAGGCGGGCGGGTCAGAGGCCGTTGGCGCTGCCGCGCTGGACCAGCGGCACCTTGCTCAGCTCCACGACCGGGGAGCGCGGCTTGTTCTTCATCTTGGGAACGCGCTGCACCAGCTGCTGCGCCTCACGGTACGCGTCGCGCAGCTCCTTCTTCCACTGCACCAGCTCCGGGTCGCTCTGCGGGCGCCCGAGGGGGTGTCAGGCGCGGGGGAGGGGTGGGGGTGCAAGTCCCCCCCACCCAGCTCGTTTCCCCCCACCCCAGCCACCCCCACCCCCCCGCCCCCGGCCACACTCACGTCGCACTGCAGCACGAACTGTTTGCCGCCGCGGATCTTGAGAAGGAGGCACTTCCGCTCCTTGATCTGCGTCTCCTCCACCGACTGGATCTCCTCCATGGTCAGCAGGCTCTGCTGCAGGCCGGGCAGGACGGGCGGGGCGGTGAGGGCGGCGGCCGGCCGGCTGGGCCAGTCACCGCGCTCTCGGGGGAGCCCCCCAGCCCGCCGCTTACCGGGGCCTCGCCCTCGCCCCGCCACTCCAGCCGGTTGGGGAACAGGTAGAAGTACCGCCGCTGCCACTGGGTCAGGAAGGGGTTGCCCATCTTGGACATGTAGCCGTGCATGATGCAGTCCTTGCCCAGGGCGTAGTCTGACGCGGGACAGCGAGAGGCGGACTCAGCCCGGCGGCCCAGGGCGGGATCCCCCGCCGGGCGCTGCCACCGCAGGCGGCTTCCCGCGACCGCGGCCTGGACCTGGGCCCCGCCCGTTCTCTACCATGAGCAGGGGGTGCCCACCCCACCCCCCGCGGCCCTGCACCCTCACCTTCCTCATGGCCCAACTGCTTGTTTTTGGTTTTCTTGCGGGCCTCCATTCGGTCCGTCTCAGCGTTGATGGTGTCGAAGACCGTTTCTGCCACCTCCTGCTGCCACCGCTCGGAGATGGTGAGGGGAAAGTTGCGGTAGAGCTCCTGGTCGCTGTCCAGCAACTTCAGTGAGCAGACAGGGTAGGGACAGCCGTCAGCCATGCGCCTCCCCAGCCCCAGGGCTCCCAGGTTGGGGCGGGGGGGGGGGTGGAGGGGGGCGGGGAGGGGCTGGTCTGGTCCAACAGCCTGCCCATGCCCATGCCAGGCACATTTGGGGAGGAGGAGCCTGAGGCCAGGCCAGGCAGGGACGAGCCAGGTACCTTGATTCCTTTTGTGTCCTCCTCGTCAAAGGAGCCAATGTCAAAGGCGTCAGCAGCGTTCACCTCCCCTCGAGGAGGGATCAGCGGGGGAGGGTACTGCGGCAGAACCCGGACTGGGCGTCAGCACGGGGCAGGGGCTCCCGGGGACCCGCCCGGCCCCAACCCAGGCTGGTACCTTCTGCAAGAAGACCATCTGCCAGTCCAGGGAGCGGAAGAAGGGGCTCTCCTTCACCTCCTGGGCCCTGCAGAGAGATGCGGGGCATCAGGCCAGGGGTCGCGTCTAGGCACTGGAGCAGGTAGCCCCGGTGAACTCCCAGGCCAGCCGTTCTTTGGCTCTGTCCCCTTGGGGAAGTTCCTTAAACTCTAGCCTGTTCCCTCAACTCTAAAACAGGGAGAGCAACAGTTCCCACACCACAGGGCTGCTGGGAGTTTTCATGTTTGTAAACCTTGAAACATCACGCCCAGCAATTAGTAAATGGTTTTGGTTTTTTTTTAAGACTTTATTTGTCAGAGAGAGTGAGCGAGTGCGCATGAGCAGGCAGAGTGGCAGGCAGAGGCAGAGAGAGAAGCAGGCTCCCCGTTGAGCAGGGAGCCTGATGTGGGACCTGATCCCAGGACCCTGGGATCATGACCTAAGCCAAAGGCAACAGCTTAACCGACTGAACTACCCAGGCATCTGGTAAATGTTTAATAAACACCAGAAGCTCTCGTCATCATCAATACCGTCACCATCTTTGTTCCAGGGGCCCCTTCTGGAAGCCGGCCCCAGCCAGCTCCAGCAGCTGCGACCCCAGACAGCCCCGCCCCCTGAGAACACAGGACAGGGCTGGTCACACCCCCACCCCGTGAGCAACTCAGAGGATACTGGCCCCAGGAGGGGGCCCTGGTGGTGGGACACAGGCCTCATCTTCAGGCCAGCCTAGTGGTGTGCCCACACAGCCGTGGCAGGGAAGACAGGCCTGGGACAGGGACCCTGGCCCCAGACACGCACCCTCGGCCCAAGCAGCCCAGTCTCCGGTTGACATCCCTCTGCAGCAGCCCCTCCAACAGGGAACGGAGCTCGGGGGAGAAGGAGTCGGGCAGCTCCACGGCCTGCAGGGAGGAGCGGACGTTGGCAGGGGCCGAAGAAGAGTCCTGGCCCCCGGCACAGAGAGACAGCGCCCAGCTTCCTCACTCACCCCAGAAGGCGTGTCTGTTCTGACAACACAGGGATGGGGAGCCTCTGGGGCAGGAGGCCCGAGTTTGGTGAGAACTGAGAGTCCACGGCCCAGACACGCACAGCAGACCCCAGCCCCACCGTGGCCCCCCGTGGACTCCACCCAGCCTCCCTATACTCACCATTGTCAATGTCATGCGGTCAATCTCATGCTTATCTTTGGTCTTGTGCTGCCGGAAGGGACTGTGCCTGGACAAGAGACACAAGGTCAGAGGACAGGAAAGGGGAAACTGAGGCAGGCAGCAAGAATGATTCTCATCTAACGTCAGGGATGGTGCCACCCTAACCCCCAAGCAGTGGAGGCACCCCTCCCCTAGGCCGCCCCCTGGACTGGGGAAGAGGGCCTCTCCCACTGCCCGCCTGGGAGAGCCCACTCACCCCCGCAGCAACTTGAAAAGCATGCAGCCCAGGGAAAACCAGTCAGCACTGCTATCGTAGGCCACGCCCTTCTGCAGGACCTCGGGGGCCATGTACCCGTGGGTGCCCCTGTGGAAGCAAGGGGACCATAAGTGGATTGGGCCGAGGACGCAGGAAAGGAGAGTGGGGGGGCTGGGCACTCACACGCTGGCGTGGGGCTTCTTCTTGGAGAAGTCGCAGGCCAGGCCCAGGTCTGAGATGCGCACGTGGCCGTGCTCGTCCAGAAGGATGTTGGCTGGCTGTGGAGGAAGCCTAGTGAGCAGCCTCCGGGGCGGCCCAGGACCGAGTGTGGCCAGGCAAGACGCCCGCGAGGGTCAGGTCACTCTAGAGGGATCCAGGTGTCCAGGGACGAGGCCCTGGGCGAGGCCTTCTCCTTCCCCCCGCCCGTGACCACCTGAATCTGGAAAATGGCTCGGTAACAGGGATAGGAAGAGAGCGGCCGGCTGGCCCGTCCCCGCAGGTCCTGTGCCAGTCGCGCTGCGGGGCCGGGGTGGGGGCCGAAGCCTCACCTTCAGGTCCCGGTAGACAACGAAGCGGTTGTGCATGTGCTCCAGGCCCAGGATGATCTCAGCTGCGTAGAAGCGCATGTCGGCCTCGGAGAAGACTCCGTGCTGGGACAGGTGGTAGTGCAGGTCCCCGCCTGCGGGAGGCAGCCCCGCGGGGCGCAGGGGCGGCGCTCAGCTCCCTGGCCGGCCCCCAGCCCCGGGCGGGTGGGGTTAACCTGGGCACAGGCCGTGCACTCACCGTTCATGAGATCGAGGATGAAGCTGAGCTTGTCCGGCGTGTGGAAGGCATACGACATGCAGACGATGAATGGGCAGTCCTAGAAGGACACGGGAGTGGAGTGAGCAGAGCCGCGCCTGGCTCGGAACCGAAGGCTGCTGCGGTTGACAGGCCCGGGCCCTCCCGGCTCACCCCAGTGCTGACAAGGGAGAGCATGATGCGCTCGTTCAGGGCCAGGGTCTCCCCCTGCTTCATCTTGATACGCTTCTTATCCAGACACTTCATGGCGTACCTGGTGGGGGAGGAGGGGGGCAGGGGGGAGGGGCAGGGGGGATGCCAGTCAGTCAGTCAGTCCATATGCTCCTTTGCTCCTTCGGTGCAGAGCCCAGGGCTGCCTCTGGGAGTCAGCAGGGGCGGGGGGCAGTCCTCGGGGCTCTCGCAGTGAAAATTAGACACTGTGACAAGCCGAAGACCCATCGGAGTCAAGACAGAGCGACGGCAGGCCTCTGGGGGCCTGTGCAGTGAGGATCCGGGATGGAGAGGGACAGGAGCCTCCACAGAGAGCCCCACAGACATCCCCAGGGGCCCTCCCTTCCTGCGGGCGTCCCACTCGACCCTGGCTCCGAGCCGGCGCTCACATCTTGCCCGTGTCGGCCTTCCGGCACCCGTACACCTCACCGAAGCCGCCCCGCCCGATGATGCGGTGCACACTGAAGTCGTTCATGGTCAGCTGTGGGGGTGGTGACAGCAGGGGTCACTGCGGGCTGCCCGGGCCCCGCCTCGGGGTGAAGACACCCAGGCAGCAGGGGGCCAGTCCCATGCTGTAGGAGGGGGGCATATGCAGGGGCCCCCCCATTCACCATGCACTTACCTACCCCGGGCCACCCACACTGGAACCCAAGCACAGACCCCCTCAACCACCACCCTGCGGGCTGAGGGACAGACTCCCCTGCACCCCGCAGCCTGGGGAGGACAGCGGGGAGGCAAGAAGCACAGTCCTCCACGGCCACCACCCCACTCACATGGATGTTGAGCTCCACGTTCTTCCACTGACAAAACCGTGTGAATTTATCACTGTAAGAAAAGACCCAGGGCTCCGATGAGATTCAGAAAGTGGGCAAAATGGTGCCAGGTGCAAGCCTGCCCCATATCATGGCCGCTGCCTGCTGTCCCAAGCCTCAGTGTCCCCTCCTGGACTGCCTAGGCATAGCGCTGGCCCAGGTGGGGCCTGGCCACCTGCTGTCAGGTTTCAGGTAAGCCTGGAGAAGAGGTCCTCCGGTCTGATCCAGATCTCCTGCTACCATAGTTCTGATGGTGCTCAGCTCATCCCAGCTTGCATGCCTCCGGCGATGCAGCACTCACTCCCCTGAGGCTCCCACTCCACAGCTGGGCAGCTGGGACCTCGGAAAACTGTTCTTTCCATCAGGCTGAAATCGGCTTACGGCTCCCGCCCCGCAGGCTGGCTCCAGCCATGAGGGTCACAGTGGAGGACGCAGTGTCTTTTTGCGCCCACCCCTACTGTCACCCTGGTACTTCTCAGCCTAGATGGGCCCAGCAAGGTGCTAAACAGTCCTTGAGAGGGAAAGACACTTAGGTGGTCCCTTGCTCCCTGGGGACTCGCCCAGGACAGGCTCGGAGATATCTGTCACCAAGAAAGCCAGGACGGGAGCGCGCAGGATGTGACGGCTAGGAGCCTGTCTGACTTTTGAGGGTGTCTGCCCAGGGCCCCGAGACCGAAGCAGGCTGCCTGCTCTCCCGCACACCATCCACACCTTCTCAGAACAGCCTCGTCCTCCCCTTGCCCTCCTGCGCGTGCCCTCTCACCTCTCGATGAACTTCTGGAACACGTCCCCTCGGAGGTTCTGACAGATCTCTTCGATGTACGGCTAAGGGAGGAAGCTGGAGTTGGTGACGGAGCCAGACCAGGAGCTGACCAGGCCCCGTGACCTCGGCTGCCCAAGGGCGACCCTGGATGGGCTGGTAGGCAGCGGGGCAGAGGCCCAGTACACACCTGGAAGAGATCCGGAGGCACCTGTTTCTTCACTAGGTGGCCCTGGACATGCTCAGTGGCACTTTTCGAGAAGGGCTGGGGAAGACAGAGGCGGCTGTGAATTCTCCGCAGGGTCCTTGCATCCCATCCCAATGCCCAGGCCGCTGCGGGCTGGCACGTGGGTCTGGGTCTGAGGACAAGCGGGCCAGGGCACTCACATGCGAGCAGGCCAGCAGCTCCTTCATGATGTAGGTGTCGAAGACCTCCCGGCTGCGGGCCAAGCGCTCTTCCTCTGTCTCCAGCTTCTCGTATTTCTTGATCTAGACGACAAGACCCACACAGGTGACACGGAGGCGCCAGCGCCAGGCATCTTGCAGATTCAAACAAAAGCAGCCCAACCCCCTCCCCTCTCCCCAGGCCGCAGGGGCCTCACCTCCTCATAGAACTCCACCAAGGGCTTGGCCTCCTCTAGGTGTTTCAGGCAGAAGTCTCGGAAGAGCAGGTACCCTGAAAGCAAGGGTGTCGGGTCACGCGGAACCGTGCCCCTCGGAGGCCTTCCCATCACGGTGGGTGGCAAGGGCAGAACTGGGCAAGGATGATGGCCCTAGGCAGGGACTGGGCAAGATTCTCAGTTCCAGGGTAAAGGGTGCCTGTGTCTCCACCCCCCACCCCCAGAATCTGCTTCCTCGGGGGGTGGCTAGAAAGTGACGTGCCCTCTGGGGAGGCAGAGGCTCGGGGCTGGCTCTGGCCGCCCACCCTCTTGCTGCAGCCCCAGGCCTGCACCTGCTGCTCGAGGGCAACATGCCCACTGGGCAGGCTGTGTGGGTGCTGATCCACCTGGGTCGGGCCAGCTACAGCAGGGGGGAGGAAGTCTCCCAAGGGGGCCTCTCCCTGGACACCCTCCCCCCCCGCCCCCGGTATCTGGCTGACTTTCACAGTAGTCCTGAGAAACAGTTACAGAAACAGACTTCCAGAAGGCCTGTCAGGTGGGCATGAGTAGAACCTGGGGCTCTTCTACCCATTGGGAGCTCCTGGGAAAGACAGGCGGGGGGAGACTGGGAAGGTTAAGAGGTGGGGCAAGCTATGAGAAGGGCTTAGGAGGCCTCCCCCTTCCCTGGGCAGGTTAGGCCTCACCCCTCCCAGGGAACTGGGGCCTGAGGCCTGGCCCCAGAGTAGCCCTAAAGGTTCAAAGCAGAAGTAAGGGCAGTGCCCATTCCCTCCAGGCTGACATGGGGGACCAGGCTTGCACTGGTGGCTTCCAGGGGCACTACCTGTGGACATCTACCAGAGCACACAGCCATCACCTCCAGTAAGGGTGGCCTGGCCTTCAGGTAATTTGTGACGTGGGTTTCCCAGTGGGCAAGGGGCTTTCACTGAGACCACGTCATCCGGCCCTCCACCAGTCCCGGGTAGCAGGGCTTCTGAGTCCTAATTCCCAGGTGAGGACATCAACAGGCTCAGAGATGTGAAGCGATGTGCTTGAGGTCACACAGCATAGGCAGAGGACCCAAACTGTGCTTCCTGATAGACTGATTCCCCAAGACTGAGCTCCAGTGCCTGATCTGGCCAGGTCAGGCCAAGCCACTCCCATATCAGAGCTGAGATCCTGCTCTCTGACAGGCCACATCAGGGCCGAGCTTCCCCGAGACCCACCCCATCCCACTCCTGCCCCATGGGCCAGGTCTGCAGCCCCCTGGAGGGGGAGGAGAAGGAGGATCTCAGGGGCCAGCCAGAGCAGGTTGCTCACAAAGAGGGCCCATGGGGGCGGGGGCGGCGACCACAGCTCGCCAGGCGCCACAGGAAGGGCCCCGCCCCTTCCTGTCAGTTCTACCAACGGCCCGAGCAGCTGTGCCTGCGCCAAGGGGAAGCTGCAATTCTCAAAAACAAAAACCCCAAGGAGGAACTTCCCCGGCAGCCTGGAAGGTCGCTGGGCCCCCACCCCCTTCACGGGGCTCCCGGGGCCGACAGCCAGGGGCTAGAAGGCACGATGGGTCCTGGGCCTGGAGCAGCCCTGCTGCCAGCCTGGGAGATGGGGCACTCACAGCTGCCCTGCCCCATCAGAGAGGAGGCCAACCCTGGCCGGACCCTGAAAACAGAGGCCTGCCGATGGGGGTGGGGTGGGGGGTGTGGGGGAGCAGGAAAGCAGCCTCAGGGGGTCCTCCTGCCCCCACTCCCCAGGGCCGGGGCAGCTGGACAGGGGTGGGAAGCCCTCAGGGCCACCAGAGCTCCTCATGTACTCACCCAGCTTCTGGGAGAAGATCTTCTCGAAGGTCACCTCGCCCCGGTCCTCAAGGTACTTCTGCATGACACTGCGGATACTGAGAGACGGGTTGGGGGGGCCTCGGTGAGCTAGAGCCCCCGGGGCTCCTACCAGGCCCATTAGGCCTACTGGCCTGGAAGCCTGCAGCTTCCTCTCCCGGAATGCATAGTGTCACCGCTGCCTCCAGGAAGGCAACCACCAGCCTGGGTCTGGTCACCACATTGTCCCTCAAAGCCAGGCTGGCCAGCGTGGCTGCTCAGAAATCGGGTACCGGCACCGCCTCGTGCCGGCTTCAGGGACCCAGCCAAGCTCCAGAGCCCGGCCTCACCCTCAGCAGGTGATGGATACCCTAGATGGGGCCCGACCTGACCGTCCCGTCCTGCTCGGCCGTCAAGTGTGCCGGAGCGCCGAGACACAGAAACGCTGCAGCATAGACCAAGCTCAGAGAGCTAAGGGAAAAGAGAGTCACCGAAGTCCCCAGGTTCTAGGATTCCACTATCTCATGTGTCCAGCACAGGCAAATCTACGGAGGCAGAAAGCAGACTAGTGGATGCCCATGGCCTGGGGGAGAGGAGAGGAGTGACTGCTAACAGGCATGGGGTTTCTTTCTGGGGCGATGGAAATGCTCCGGAATGAGGTAGGGCAAGGGTTGCACAATGCCAAGATGTACTAAAATCCACTGGATTCTGCACTTTAAAATGAAGGATTTTATGTTGCGTGAATCATATCTCAGAGTTTTTACACAGTAAAAAAGCAACAAAAGTCAAGCCTCAGTTCCTGGGTCCTGAACATCTGAAATAAACCTGTGCCCCCTCCCCCTGGGCTGCCTGGGAGGGCCGCAGGGGAGAGACTGGCCGTTGTGACCACGAGACCCCAACCCAGCACTCCCCACCCGAGAGCTCACCCTCAACACAAAGGACCATCTGGGCAGGTGACCTGGGGCTATGCCTCTTATCTCAGTGGTACCCTGCTGTCCCCTCCCATCCCCTTCCTCACCTGCTGTCCCCTCCCCCACTCCCCCCGGGCCACCTGCAGTCCTGCCTGGTCAGCCTGCCTGTCACGCTGGCCAGCTGTAACCACTCTAGGCTTCCCGAGGCCGGGCTCCTGAGGAACGCTCCAGCCTTGTACCAGGGACTAAGCTGGGCCGGCGCACCTGAGGCCACGCCATGCTCACAGCCCTGAGGCCATGTGGGGCCACCGGCAGGCCACTGATAAAAGACACAGCAGCCGGTGAGAACCAGGATGACAGAGTCCAGGCTCTGCGCCCCCGCCTCCCCGCATCCCTTCTGGAACCCGGCTCAGGTCACCAGGGCCTGCCACCCATCCTCTACTAGAAGGTTGCACGCACCCCTGCCGTCCAGGCAGGCCCTCCCAAGGAGCAAGTTCTGCTTCTGTGGCCCTGAGACAGTAGATGGTGCGTGACAAAGCCTGATAGGAGCCACGCGGGCAGGGAAGAGTGTTCTGGGCCGACGGGAGACGCTGCGTGGAGGAGGAACCGCACTGGGTTCCTCCGTGCAAATAGGATGTGAACAGGTGGCAAAGCCTGGGACAGATGGGGGGATGTGGGGACAAGCAGGGGAAGACCTCGCCAAGGGTGAGCAAGAGGCTATGAGGCGGGGGGCGGGGTTCGGTCCAGGGCAGACGGAGTTCACTGGAGGCACCCAAAGGAGGAAGTCCAGGTGCGGAAGACACGACAGGGACGACCCGAAGGGAGGGGGCGAAACAGTGCGGGGCGGGAGCGGGCTCTGCCACCGGGCAGGCGGGAGAACAGACCGGGCCAGCCGGACAGCAGGCCGCCTGCCAGGGTTTCACCCGTGAAGGGGTGTCTGAGGCCAGAGCGCTCCGGGCAGGGCCGGTGTGGCCCAGGGACACTGCCCAGCCTCTGGGACGGGGCTCGAAGGCAGGGGGACCCCTGCCTGTTTCCCCTCAGCACTCTCCTTCTCCTTCCTCCTCCCAGCCAAGAGCCAGTGGCTCGGTGGCCCCATGCTGCCTGAGCTGGTTCCCTGGGGAAAGCAAGGATGGCCTCTGCCACGTGCAGCGGCTCAGAGGCCGGGAGGTGTCCCTCACCCAAGCCAGCACACCCTCCTCTCCGGAGTGCCACACACCAGCCCACACCCACCAGCTACTGACCAGAACACATCTCTTTGGCTCCACGACATTCAGGAGGCCCACTCTGTGCTTCACACATGGTAGGAGCTTGAAAACCCTGCCCTGGGGCCTGCAGATCAGACTGGAGCCCTATGGGTCCTTGCCCCGTGAGGGAACACACAGGACCTCCTTTTGGGAGGACAGTGGGACCGGCCTGGGGGGTGCGGGGTGCAGCAGAGCAGCACGGGCCCAGAGCAGGTGGAGAAGGCCCGGCAGGGTCTAGAGACCAGGCAGCCCAGAGTCAGAGTCTAAGCTCGGAGCCCTGGGACCCCACAAGGGACCAGTGCCTGAATTCCACCTGTGAAGTGGACTGGGAAGATGAGGTCCTCCCTACCCCTTGGCTCAGCTCTTGGCACTGCACATCTGCACCCAATTCTGGGCTTGGGGACATTCTAGCCTACGGGAGGGGATGGACAAAGTAATAAAGAGGGACCAAAATATCAAAAAACCATCAGATGGTGGTCAGGTGCGCTGGGGGGGACGCCCAGACATAGGGGTACACACGACAGGCCAAGCGACTCCAGCCCCTGAAGGGTGACCCCACCAGCCCACTGGGCTCAGCCCCTGCAGTGACACTGGGAACCCCGCCTGAGCCCTACACTAGCTTCCCTGGAGCCAGCGAGACCGGCACCACTCAGCGAAGACAACAGAGCAGGAATGCCCACCACTGCCCCGTCCCCCCACAGGACCCCGCGGCCCCAAGAAGAACCGGGGACTAGACTTGCCAGAGAAATGCGCTCTTTACAAGGGCCTGCAGACGAAGGAGCTGGGACAGTCGCCTCTCAGGAAGCCGGCCTCTGGCACAGCCTTCTCCCTTCCCAGTGACTCTGCTGGGGGCTCAGCCCAGGGAAGAGCAGAAAGTGGGGCCCGGGTTGGTGGGGGGGGCAGACCCCGCATCCCCGCCGAAGCTGCACGGGATGGCCACAGCTCTCTCCCCAGCCCACAGCACTTCACTTTCTTCCTTAAAAAGAAAAAACTGTTTTCTAAATAAAATAAACAATCCCCCCTCCCCGCCACCCAAACACAAGATCAGACTGAGCAGAGCCCTTGCATGGAAGGCCCCCAGAGCGATGACGTCAGGGCTTCCTGTCCGCTCTCCTGGGGCTGGCAGCCGAGGGAGCCAGCAGGTCAGAAAAACGTGTTATGGGACACACTCGTGCCAGGGTGGCAAGTACAGGCTGGCACAGGAGGTGGTGGTGGCCTCCTGGGCTGGATCACCTCCATCTCCAACACCCGCCCCGATACTGGGGGAGTCTAGAGTGGCAACGAGCCCAGAGCAGCATTCCTGCCCCCATCCAGGCCAGCGACTCCGATAGCGAGGAGCACGTGGCTGCCCGGTCAGCTCTGGGGGGTCAGGAGAGCCCAATGCCCGCCTCCTCCCCACCAGCAGGACTCTGAGGCTCCCAGGCTCTCTGGGGGAAAGGCCTGAGGCCTGAGCTCCAAATGGCTCTCCCCGGCCTCCTGCCCCAGGGGGCGGCCAGGCCTAGTCACAGGCTTTAAACGCGCGCAGTTTCCCCATTTGTGAAATGAGGATGACAACAAAAAGCTGAACTTGCTACCACCACGCTGGCCACTTCAAGAGCCTGCGCGGACACAGCAGTGGAACTGTCTCAGGATGCCAGCCTTGCTGTGAGAGCTGTCAGCTCACGTCCCCTCCTGGAGGCGGCCCTCCTCCTGGGAGGCCACGGCCTGTGCCGCTTCTAGAACATGATCCTGAGCTACTTGGTCTTTCTTGTTCGGGTCTCTGCTCCACAGCTCCACGTGCTATGGCCGGGGGCCTCCCAAGTGCCCTGGCGCGTTCTAACCAGGGCTGGGGCTGGGAGCACTCCCCGGGGCAGGTGCACGGTGCCAGGCCCCTCTGCGTACAAACCAGCCTCACACACTCATGCCAACCTGCCTCGGGGGCTTGGTGGGGGGTGCACAGAGCCCGGCATGTGCCCCAACAAAGCAGCAAGGGCCCCTCGGCAGGAGGGCCCGTCCTGCCACGACAGGGAGCTGCCAGACCCCGCTGCCCACAGCCAGGGCTGTTCGCTCCGGCCCCAGCTGCTCTAAGAAGCAGGTCAAGCTTGACGCTGAGGGAGAAAGCATGTCGTCCTCCCTTCCAGCCCGGAGTGCGGGCAGGGGTGACAGGATAGCAGGCAGGAAGGTGGTGAGAGCTGTGGGGGAGAACTTCCGGTAGCTTCTGGAACCACGTGGTTCAGAAGAAAAGCAAGGCCCCTTGCTCTGTGGCACACAGGCCTGGCAAGATGATCTGGGCCCTCACAGGTGACTTCCACCCGGGGTCACAGACGGTAGCTTGAGTGTGGACTGGGAGGGACAGCAGGAGTCAGAAGCAAACGCACTCGTCTTGCTGGTGAAGCCATCTCAGCTAGGAGCTGAGCGGCCTGCCCCCGCATCCCACACTGAGTGAGCGGCCAGAAAACGAAACCGCGGCCAGAAAACGAAACCGCGTCCAACTCTCCCTGAGAAAAGGCGTCCCACTGGGCAGGGGCCTCCCGTCAACCTCTGCAGGAGGGCTGGGGGCAGGGTCCCCGAGGACCCCAGATTCAAGCCCAGGCTGCCTCTCCCTCCATCCCCTGCTAGTGCCACGGGCAGCGGGCAGCATCGCTCCCAGCAGGCTCCGGGCAGCTTTGGTCGGCACCTGGCAGGCCAGGGCCATGGTGGCCACGCTCCTGTGTGACAGGGACACCAGGGTCGTGAAAGCCCAGGACGGCAGGTGGACTCCAGACCTAGCGGGTCTGGAGCAGCCACCCTCTGGGACAGGCTGGTGAATGAGCCCGCCGAGCAGAGACCGTGGTGCGGATCCTCTGTGGCATTTCCAGGAAACCTGGCACCAAGGTGGCAGCAGTAGGAGGAAGTCCCCTGGGGCTTCTTATTAATATTTCTCAATGACTCTCCCTGGGGCTCACACAGTGT